TCCATGGAGGAAGTGGGACTATGGAGGAAGTGGGTGCATGGAGGAAGTAAATCCATGGAAGAAGTGGGTCCATGGAGGAAGTAGATCCACGGAGGAAGTGGGACCATGGAAGAAGTGGGTCCACAGAGAAAGTAGATCCATGGAGGAAGTGGGTCCACAGAGGAAGCAGGACCACAGGAAATGGCCCACTCTTGTAAGAGGAAAGAAAGTGCAGACCAGAAGAGAGGGAAGCACCTGGCCAACAGCCAAGAGGGGAGCACGGCTCAGGATGCGCAAGGTAGGGATGGAGAAAGGAGGGGCAGTGGGGCCACAGTGACAAAGAGGCCAGGAAGGAAGGTAGAAGGAAAGGGCTGGGGCCCAGAAGAGCACAGGAGGCAACAGAGGCGGGACCAGGCTGGGCTGAACCTGAGAAGGAAGCTTCGAGCCACCTAGCTGGGGGTGAACCAAATGCGAAGCACACATTTCCTTTATAAGGACTGTGGCCAACCATATACGTTCGCGGTGGATTAATCTGAGCAAGTGTTTTAGCTCAGTGGGTTAAGAATTAGGTATTCAAGGGCTGGGGATTTAGCTCAGTGGTTCCAGTGCCTGCCTGGCAACCACAAGGTCCCAAGTTCAATCCCCAGTACCCCACCCACACACACAAAAAAAGAATTAGGTATTTAAGCATAGTTTTTTGTTTTTAGGGTTTTTTTGTTTGTTGGTTTGTACCGGGGATCAAACTCAGGACCTTGTGCTTGCCAGGCAGGCACAGTGTCACTGAGCTAAATCCCCAGCCCACACATAGTTTAATCATTCAGCTAAATCTGCCTTATTGAGTGAAATGGGACAGAGACCATAAATTACTTATATACCATTGCTGTTGCATGTAGTTAAGGGTAATGATATGAAATCATTAAGGACTGACCCTAGCCCTTACCTTCCTATTACACAGCACTGTATGCATGACGTGGGCAGCACGAACTTGTCGCACACCCCCAGTACAAGTGGCATATTTACCTTTCTGCAGCCAGTACATCCACTTATCTCCTCTCACCCCCCACTAAGGCTGGCGAGAAATTCAGTCTCAGATGCGTTTGGGGCAGGGGTTACATAAGACCCCTGGGGAAAGACCTCTGACCCTCTGTGCACACCTCACCTCCTGGGGCCAAAGGGTTTTGTCCCCAGGCACTCTTTCCTGCTGCCCCTGCGGTCCTGTCACCTGCGCAGGGTGACACAGGTCTCTACTGCCCTTAGAATCCACCAGGTATCGTCCTTCTAATCTCAGAGCCAGGCCATCCACGGAGGAAAACACTGCAAGGTGCTAGGCTCGGTTCAGTCATCCTGGCCCTGGCTTGGGATGAGCCAGCCCCTGTCCTCCTTGTCTTAGTCCAGCCTGGTCCACACTGCCTGGATCTGGACTTCCCGAGTGGTACCCAAGGTCCTAACACATCTGGCCTCAATGCAGCCAGAGCCGCCTTCCGGTAGGGTCCCAAAAGGCATGGCGTCATCACTGAGGTGCTGCTGATACTGATTGCTGTAGAATCTGGGTGGCCCATGGTGGTCATGATGCACTGCTTTATCCCGAATGTGCTCTAGCTTTCCGTGGGCTCACTGTCTCCACCATAGGCAGAACTGCCTTTCCACCACGTGGACCAAACACGCTGAGCTACATCGTGGACGATGTGGCCACAGTGGGTCAGTCGTTGAAGGTCAGGGCTCCAGTGACACCAGGCACAGAGAATGCTCCTCTCTGCAGAATGAGAACCAGGCTATAGATTTCAGAATCCAGTTTCAATCTGCCTTGATCAAAACCTAGATACAGTAACATGTACCCATGCCCCTACATGTCTCTGCATGCAAAGATGCACACACGTGTACATCACACTAACGCATGCAGACCCTGGGCTCGGTCTCAGCATCTCCTTGCCGTGTGCCTGAACAGTGGTGTCTTTAAGGATCAGTGTAACTTAAAATGAGACAAATAGCACAGTGATGTTACACATACCTTTAAAACTCAGATTCAATTATAAAAACTTGGTGCTGAGTATATTTTTCAGGTATTTTTTGTTTAAAATACATTAGCACACATCAACAACTAGTCTCTGAAGTAACAAAGAAACAAATTGGTTATGTTGGATTTATGGATGTGGAACATATATATTCATATACATATTTTAAACAGTTTAATGGCTTTCTAAGGGTCATTTTTAATATGAGATCTTCATGCTGGGTTCTCATGCCCCACTTTGTTGAAAGAACTACATCAGATATTGGATACAAAGCATCTAGTCCAATGCCTGACCTATGAGAAGCCCTGTCCACGTTAGCAATTGCAGTATCGCGGTTTTTAGTATCATTTTATAATAGAATCCTAAGTGCAAGTCAGAGAGTTGGTTTTCAGTGTATCCTGGGTCACTTCGTAGCTATGTAACCTTGGACAAATGACTTTAAATCTCCAACTATCAAACAGACCACAAGTGACCTTGAAGACCTGGATTAGGGAGATACCTGTGCGTGAAGTACCCAGCCCAGAGCATGGTGCTCATATAGCATCTGTTCCTTCCCCTCCTAGTTACACTGAATGTTCATGGGTGCGTGTGCGTGTGTGCGCATCTGTCTGTGTTACTAGTAATCGCCGGCTCTCTGCTTGCACAGGTCAGAAGGAAATCTCCGTTGGAAAAAAGCACCCCTGGAATGCGCCAGGCCTCCACTCCCAGCTCAGTCTGCTAGCGCACCACCGGAGAGACCCCACGGCCCACCGGATCCTCTCCGCGCGGCTCCACAAGATTAAAGAGCTGAAAAACGAACTGGCCGACATCCATCGTAAACTGGAGTCCATCATCACAGAAAACCAATTTTTGAAACAACTTCAGTTTAGGCACTTGAAAGCGATAGGAAAATACGAGAACTCGCAAAGCAACTTACCTCAAGTTATGATTAAACATCAGAATGAAGTGAAAAATTTAAGGCAGCTACTTAGGAAATCCCAGGAGAAGGAAAGATCTGTCTCTAGGAAACTCAGGGAAACCGACAGCGAGTTGCTGAAGACCAGGGATGCCCTGCAGGCGCTGCAGAAACTCTCCGAGGACAAGAACCTTGCAGAAAGGGAAGAACTGACCCATAAATTGTCTGCTCTGGCAGCAAAAATGGAGGCGAATGACAAGAAAATACAGGTCTGTATTTCAGAGGCGTAGACACGTTAAGGTTCCCAGATGAACAGGCTGTGGCGATGCGCATTAGCCCACTCACCTGTAACACTGCACATGAAACCGCGGGGAGGGCGAGCCGGGGCGAGCAGTTCAGTTAGAGTGGGGTTGGGGAGGAGGGGCTCGGAGAAAGAAGAAGCTTTGAACCAGAGATGTCCGTCTGTGGTTGTAGTGAGCAAGAGGTCATGCCGCAGCTGGACCCACGGGTCTGGAAACGGCTGTTATCTAAGGCAGCACAGCTACCTACGTTAGGAAGTTTCCTCATGTGCCAAAAAGGCTGCACCGTGTTGTGCAAAGTCTCCCTTGGAATCAGCACTGCTGAAAACTGTTATGAAAAGGCTGCTTCCCCAAACCCTGACTCTGCCTGCGTGCAGCATCCTTGGTCATCAGTGTGACCCGTCATTACCACATAGACCATTTTTAGTTATTCTGGAGTAGGAATTGTTCCCCCAGAATGATCCTAGAAGTAGGGAAGCAAGAGGAATTAAAACAATGAAGCTGTGAATAGGCCGCTTCTCCTCAGCAGTCGGTGGCTGTCCGCAGCCAGGGATGGTGTCGCCTGGGAGGATCTAGGAGACAGCACTGACCAGCTGGAGAATGTCCTGCCCACTTTGCCTCAGACACAAACATCAATGGACACAAATATCAATGGAGTTATTTTCACTGTTTAATTATTTGATACTTGATGGTGACAGGAAGTATTTTCTATGATCTTGAAAATAAGCTAATATCAAGGTCATTTGATCCACGTTTTTGTTATCTCTTCTGTTAGTAAAATTCTATACTTTCAAAGAGAAAATTCTATACTTTCTCTAGCGAGGTGTGGTAGTGCATGCCTGTAATCCCAGCACTCAGGAGGCTGAGGCAGGAGGATCGCTGTGAGGCAGGAGGCCAGCCTGAACTACATAGAGAGACCCTGTCTCAAAAAGAAAAATTCACATAAAATGGATGGATGACATATATAAAATACTGAGTTCCCTCACCATCAACCTTGTATGCTGTTCACATTATTTAGGTTTGGGGTGATACGGGATCCATATTAGTATATGTCTGTCATGTAGAAGTAAATGTATTTTTATCTCTCCTACATGTTTTTATATCTATAGACAAATCTGAAATTACTTCCAGAATGAATGAACCATTCCTTGCCTGTTGGCACTTGGTGGTATGGGGAATTTCAGTCCAGTTGTCAGGGAGAAATGTTTTATGGGTGAACATAATGTAGGTAATTTTAAACATTAATATTTTAAGAAGTGGGACTTTCAGTGATTATGTCAACCTTTTAGATTTCTCTTTTCCACTTTCTTTCATGGGAAAGTATTACCGTTAAAATGAGCAAGACTCAGGGGCTGGGGATTTAGCTCAGTGGTTTCACCGCCTGCTGCGCAAGCTCAAGGACCTGAGTTCGATCCTCGGTACAAAAAAAAAAATAAGCAAGACCCACTTTGTGAGTGGTGATTGACAAAAAGGGTGAATGTTTCAGACACACTTGTCCCATCCCCCTCGCCACTTTCAAGTAATTCTGCAGTCCCTTTCCGGAGCATCTCTAGGTGCACTGTCCTGGCTGCCTCAATGTCCTAAATTGATTCAAAATGTTCCCCTCTGGTGATTCTGACCTTGGGGAAGAGCCAGAAATCACACAGTCCCACAGTGGTGATAAGGTGGGTGAGGACACAGCACTGTGTTTTTATAAGCTGCCTTTCCATTGGATGGCACTGGGCAGCAGCATTCACCGTATTTCTGATCATGCTTCATAAAGACACTCAGGAAAGAGGACTCCAGAGCTGCTGCAGAAAGTAGCAAGGATGATGGGATGAGTGCTTCTGAATAGGGGTGGGGGTGTATTGGGAGGAGATTTCATGGTGCTGTGTCTTTTATTGGGATAAATTGAGATATAAACAGTCACCATGTATTTCCATCACCCCTTGTGCATGAGGGGAAAAAGTCCTTTAGGCCAAGCTTTCTGTCAAAGTCCAGAGCCAACAGTTGTGCCATAGGACTGTCGCTCCGCAGAGCAGGTGAGCTTGCATCAGATAGCGACCAAGCTACTTCATGTCCCTCGGCTCAGTCAGGTGGGTGAGGTCCTTGGCTCGCAGTCTCTGTTCTCGGGGAGCCCTGGTCTCCAGGATCTGCAGGGCTCAAGAACCTACGGGGGAGAGAGAAGCATTCACTGGCCAGAACTGCTGAGGTTTTGGTGTAAAGTACGACATTGATTGTATTTTATTTAATGATCTGAAGGATGTGTTCAAATTCTTTTTATCAAATTCCAAAGAATGTAAAAAGACATGGTAAAAACAATGTAAAAAAGATGTCCTCTCCGTGAACCCTTCACTAAAATGGTACTGCCATTCTATACTTCTCCTAAATGTGCTTAGTTCCTCTGTCACTGAAGTTTTTCATAATCTAACCGGCTGCAGAGTAGTTGAACTGTGTCCTGTTTTCAGAGGTTGGAAAGACAGCTGAGGCTGAACACTCAGGCCTTCAACCGCCAGCTGGCAACGGAAAACCAGAAGACTCAGGCAGCTCAGACGGCCACGAAGTCCCTGCAAGAGGAGCTCAGGCTCCTGCAGCAGAAACTCAAGGTACTGCTTTCAAAACAAAATGTGGGAAAATGTGAGATCCCGTGTCCCCGGACACTGGAGCTGTTTGTGCATATTATGTCTCAAATTCTGTGATTTCAGGAATATATTGTTTCTTCCCTACAATCCTGAACAGACTGAAGGTCTGCAGTTATTAGAATGAGTGAATACATACTGTAAACTAGAAAAATTAAAGCTCTATTCATTCACGAGACTTATCATTTTTATTTCATCACATTAATATTGCAGTTTGTTTACAGTGTAATTCTAAATCAATTTTTAAATGTAAAACTAATTTTTAACATTGTAATATCAAGGGCAAATGTTAGTATATGTGTGCCCAAAGCAAGTACAAGGGAAAATTTTAATGGCCCACAATTTATTTAAAGTCTCCTTACAAATACATTTTCAAAACAGTCTTTTAATCCAGGCATGGTGGCACATAGCTGTCATCCCAGCACTCAGGAGGCTGAGGCAGGAGGATCGCCATAAATTCGAGGCCAGCCTGGGCTCTACACAGTGAGACCCTGTCTTAGGGAAAAGAAATTTTTTTTCTAAATTTTCCAACACTTTGGGAAAGCTGGATAAGACAAGTGAGAAATAAACACTTTCAAATCTCAGCTGGTCTTCAGCTTGACTCTTGAGACAAAAATCTTTGTCTTTTCTGGGATGAGTGGGAATTCAATTTCTAGGGAGTCTTCGGAACAGACCTCTAGAGCCTCTAGAGCTGGGGACAGGGAGGGCAGGGAGGAAGATGGAAACCCTCCTTACGTGAGGCAGGGAAAGCGCTCTGTCCAGTTTTTCTCCAGAGTTTCGGGAAACCAAGGAAGAATGCACCACAAAATGGTATGGCTATGACAAATAGCTTAGAAGTCTAAGAGAAGAGGTGTCGGGGTCCACTGGACAAGACTAAGGAGACACAGTCAGGGAATTTTAAAACAATTTTGTGTTTCCTTATTCTATATAAATAGACATTGTGTTCAGCCATTTTTTGCCAGGCGATATACTTAATACTCAATGAAATGCATAATTAAAGATTCAAAATTCTACATGCACTAAGATTTTAATTTAGCCAGAAAGATAACAAGAAGATTGCAAAAATAAATATTTAGAAATTCTGGGGACTGGTTGGAGGTGTAGCTCAGTGGTACAGCACTTGCCTAGCACGTGCGAGATCCTGGGTTCTATCCCCAGCACTGCAAAACAAACAAAAATCCCTCAAAACTTAAGTTGCTGGCTGGGGATTTAGCTGAGCAGTTTCGCCACTTGCTGCACAAGCACAAGGACCCAAGTTCGATCCCCAGCACCAAAAAAAAAAAAAAAAAAACTTAAGTTGCTAAAAGAAAAGTAAATACACCTCTGCACAATGTATTTCTGAGCTCCCGCAAAAAGAAACAGGGCCATGGGGGTGTGGCTCAGTGGTAGAGCGCTTGGCTGGCAGATGGGAGGCACTGGGTTCCACACTCTGCACGACAAAAGAAAAAAAAAACAAAATAAGAATAAGGAACTTTCGGGCCGGGGATTTAGCTCAGTGGTTCTGCCACCTGCCTTGCAAGTGTAAGGACCTGAGTTCAATCTCCGGTACCAAAAAAGAAAAAGAACAAGGAACTTTCATGAACCCTGTGGAGTAATCTCAGGATGTATTGGTAAGTGGAAAAAGGAAGGTTAAGGGCAGCAATACAAATTATCCATTTTTTTATGTTTTAAAAAATCAGTAAGATAACAATAGAAAGGGGAAGAAAATAAGGTAAAAGGGACAGTCATAAAACATACATTTCTTGAATCTCTTCCTGCTTGATTTGCCTTTGAAATCATATAAATATTTTGCATAGTAATAAGACAATTCAAAAACTAAAATGCTATACCAAAAAAATCCAAAGTAAAGAAAAATACATGAACCCAACTATGTATTCTATCGGTGGCATGATGTCACACAAAAAAACCATTTCAAGTGACTTAAAACACATTCATTTTATTGCATATGCTAGTGAGATACAAGTTAAAACTTTCACACACACACAAAAGTATTGTTAGTTTAGTACTGATTTCAGTTATGGTAGTGTTGATACAGTTATTTCGACACCGGTGTGTGCATCCTTCATAACATGGTGAATAATGTTCATGTCATTGAGAACTGGGATTTGGGAGACAGAAGAAAAAATACAGAAGAATAAATGAAAATCCTGTACTCCTGATTTTGATCAGAAGTGAAAGTATTAATTTATGATATATTTATTTTTAAAACTGTATGTTTCTAAAGTGACCAACTCAGCAAGAATGGATATCCCTGGAGCTCTCTAATGGTCTCCAAATTCCATTTCCCACAAACAAGAGCCAAGGTGTCTCAAAAAATTTTAAGTCGGGTGCACAAAGTCTACTCAACAAGCCTGGGATTCCTGTCATACAAAAAAGGAAAGCATCAAAGAGCAAGAGGACAACATGCACAGGGCTCGGGAGCCATCTAGAGTAGATTCAGACTGGCCAGAGATGGGACAATGTGAGATCAAAAAAGATAACCGAACCGCACGGACTGCAATTTATCCACTGAATCCAAGAGTTCACAACGACACTTAATAAACAAAACACTTCAGGGTTTACTCACCTTTGGAAGGCTCCAATATACCACCAGGGGAACAGTATGCTATTTTGAAACTTATACCTAAAGAAAAGGAAACAAACACTTATTTTTTACTTTTTCTATCTGAAGTATTCTTCAGAGTAACCACATTATGTAAGGAAGTTCTAGCCTCCTTATTACAGCACTCCAGTTGATGATGAAGAAGGGATGATTTGATCCAACTCACTATTTTAGAATTCCTAATAAATTACTGGCCCTAATCAATGATCATGAGTTGCTACTAAAATCACAAAAGAGAAAGTGTGAGGTGGTCCCTCCTGATGGCTCTGCAACCACCACCCTTGGAGTTCGGTGCCACCTCCAGCCTGACACTGGCTGCCCACCGAGCTTAACAGCTGATTTAGTGGAACGGGATGGAGGAACTGGGGAGACGACACCACAGAGACGCACACAGTCAGCGGCACCAGGCTGAGGGAGACTCCACAAAAAAAAACAAGCTGAGCTGAAGCTACACACAATGGTGCACATCTGTAACCCCAGCACTCTGGGAGGCTGAGGCAGGAGGAGCACAAGTTGGAGCCCAGCCTGGGCAATTTAGGGACTTAGCAAGATCCTGTCTCAAAAAATAGGCTGGGGACCTAGCTCAGTGTGAAAGCCCTGGGTTCACTCCCAAGTACCACCAAGAAAAGAAAGAAAGAAAGAAAGAAAGAGAGAGAGAGAGAAAGAGAGAGAGAGAGAGAGAAAGAAAGAGAAAGAGAGAAAAGGGTGGCCTGAAGAAGAGCTTTTCATTCTTGCCTACCAAAACCCTCTGGAAATGACCATTCCTTAAACAAGGATCCATAATCCTGCACACGGTGTGGCTGTACCCGATTACCAAACGGCTTCTGGGAGGTCAAAACCAAGTGCATTCAGGCTGAGGGAACCAGGAGACAAATGAAACTTAAAACATGCTCAGCTCTGCTCTTAGAGGACCCGAGGTTCAGGGTCGGCAGAGGGAGCAAGAGGGGCAGACAGCCAGTAGGGGCTGGGGGGATTTGAGGGGTATGGAGGGGTCCCAGAAGTCACCCCATCCCCACACATCCCTACAACACAGGCTCTGGGCAGCGGTGACTCACTCAGGACCGGTCCCTGTGCCACATTCACCAGCAGGGAAATGTGGTCCAGACTGCACAGCTGTCATCCCAGCACTCAGGAGGCTGAGGCAGGAGGATGCTAGGGAGTTCCGGGCCAGCCTGGGGCACATAGTTCAAGGCCAGCCAGAACTATGTAGTGAGACCCTGACTCAGAAAACCAAACTAAAAATAAAAACAGAAAAAGGCAGTGCTCACCTCGCCCTAGGAGGCGACAGTTCTACGCAATCTCTAACTTCCTTCCCCCAAGACCCCAGGGAAAGACCTAAGACTGCAAAAAAAAAACCAGACTCTGAATGACAGAGAGAATGGTGGTGACTCCCATGGTGCCATGTGGGAGGACAGGGTGGAGGCAAGGGCGACAGGCACCACTGGCCCTGCGCGGCTCCAGCTCGCCTGGCCTCCTCCCTAGGGCCAGGGTGAAAATGCTGTCTCAAAACAGAAAGCAAAGTCTGTAGGGGCTCGGGAAGGCCTTGCTCGGGGTAAAGCTTGCAGGTCAGCAGGGAAGAAGCCTAGGAAGAGACCCAGGGCCACACAGAGCAGCAGGACACTGGAGGCAGCGAATCCAGCCCTCCATTCCCACCTGCATTCAGGCTCCCTGATCATGTGACCATCGGCAGGCAGGAGAGAAAGCACACGAACAGGCAGGCGTGGTGCCCCAGGCCAGTAATCCCAGCACTCTAGGAGGCTGAAGCAGGAGGATGGTAAGTTCAAGCCCAGCCTGGGTAGCTACTGACAGTGAGACTCAGTCTCAAAATTAAAGGGCTGGGGGTGCAGCTCAGTGCAAAGGTCCTGGGTTCCATCCCTAGTACTGCAGAGGTTGGGGCGGCGGGGAGAAGGAGAAAAGGAAAGAAAGACAAGCAGAACAGCTGACCCAGTTTAATATTCCAGGAAAGAAGATGCTGCGTCCACAAACTGTGATGTCATAAAAATGGAAAAACCAGAAAGCAAGGGAAACTTCACTCAACTGCCAGTGAGGAGAAAGTCAGTAAAGAGCTAGGAGATGATCTGGGACAGAGGTGGCAGACTACCTGTAAAAGGTTCACCAGCTCTGACCTAGGATACTGAGAAAATCTCCCTAAACAAGGAGCTGGACGATAGGAGATGAAAAAGGAAACATCAAGAAAGTACGCGCCTGACCTGCCTGTCTGCAGCGAGGGACAGAGTTCACGTGCAGCGGACACCTTGTAGTTTGGAAGGGTGGATCCATCTTCTGTCTGATTCCTCCTGGGAAAAGCTTGCCAAGTTTTGTTCAAAGTTCTACAGGCCTCCATGCGGAAGTCCCCCAAACCATTCTTACTTATTCCCAGTATTCTGCCCCGATCACGAGTTTCTGTCTCTCCAGTGGGAAGCATGCTGCTCCCGCCCAGGCTACAGCAGGGCTGCGTGAACAGTGGAAGCTTCATGCCTGCAATGCTCCAATGCGTGTGTTAGGGCTATGACTTGATGTCCTCCCAAAGCCTTGTGCAGGCATGGGTGGAGCTTTGCTTGGAACTGATTCCTGGTGCAATGCTAGGCTCCAGGGCACTGACTGAGAGCGGAAGTAATCGCTCCCTAAGTAATCAGCATCAGATGAAAGGGGCAGAAAGGCTCAGTTTAGAGCTCCTCCCCTTCCCTTGTTGCTTTTGCTGTCTTCCAAGGCCTAGACTGTTGCCCCTCTCCTAACCTGCCGTGGAGCCAGGCGATTACAGACTGAAACCTCTACAAACAGTAAGCCAAATAAACCTTTCCCCCTTTAAAAAAAAAAAAAAAGAAAGTACGTGCCCAAATCATTTAAAACAATCACTTTGGCCATTTCTCAAGACTCGGTCACTAACCCGTGGCCTGTCACCCGCCGTGCTCCCCGCATTTGGGGCGCTCCCCACCTCCCTCTGGTGCTGTCTGCTTCCCCTCCATGCTCAACTCCAGTAGTGGCCCCCGTGGGGAGGGGCAGACACCTGGAGGACATTTTAGAACCTGTTCCTGTTATGTGCTGCATAGCATGCTGCTCCCAAACTTAAGTAACTTAAGGACCAGCATGAATTCTGTTCACAAAGCTACAATTTAGCCAGGGGCTTCCACAGACAGCTCATGGGCCAAGGTGCTCAAAGGCTGGGGGCTGGGATTATCGGATGTCCTGCTCCTGTCTATCTGTAGTGACAGCTGAAGTCTTTGGCAGGAAGCCTACACAGACTCTCCGCGAGGTGTAGGGGTCCTCGCAGCTGGATGGCTGGGTTCCCAGGGCAAGAATGAAAAGGATGTGGAGGTGGAGACAGAATGAGAGAGTCAGACACAGGGCAAGGGAGCATCGGGCAGAGAGTGGTCCCAGCGCCCTTTATGATCTCGCCCTGGCTGTCACACAGCATCATCTCTGCTCCATTCCAGGGCCCACAGCACTCCAGGCAGCAAACTCCACCTCTCAAGGCAGAGTCACAAGGTTCTGGCACAAGAAAATACAGGGACAAGAAATAACACTGTGGCAGTTTCAGGAAACTACCATCTGCCCCGTGAACGTCAGTGGTTACTGTCCGAGCTTGGGAGGTCTGGCCCAAGGACTGAAATGTCATTGAAACTCATTGTCGAAGTCACCCTCACCAGTGCAGACCCATTTCTGGAGAATGGGTGGCAATAAGAAGACAGACGCCAGCCTTCCGCCGGTCCCAGAGGAGGTACTGCTGCCCTGCTTTGCCTGCTTCAGTCGAGGCTCACTGAGGGGGAGTGCCCCTAGGAATGTACTTCCTTGCTAATCTATGTCTTTGGTTTTGTTTTCGTATGAGAAAAGATCTCACTATATAGTTCGGGAGGGCCTGGAACTCACTATGTAGTCCTGGCTGGCCTCAAACTCAAGGCAATCCTTCTGCCTCAGCCTTTCGAGTGCTGAGATTGCAGGCGGGTGCCACCGCACCCAGCTACCTAGCTAATTTTTGGAAGCCATTTATCTACACTGAGCACATCATGATTCCACACCATCAGCCATCTTCCTTTCTGGGTGGGGGCTACTGGGGACTGAACTCAAGGCCTGTGCACTGAGCCCCACCCCCAGCTCGATTTTACCTCTTATTGTGAGAGGGTCTCACTAAGTCACTAAACTGCCCAGATCCTCCTGCCCCGCCCTCCCAGAGTAGTGGGCTATAGGTGTCACCACCATGCCCCCCTTAACTCTGTGTTGACTTCCCTTTGAGCTCCTGAGTACTCTTTCCTATGGGTGTTTCACAAAGACTCCATGAGCAATCCTGGGTACACAAGGCTTCACTTATTCCCTGATCAACCACACGAGTGGCCTGGGTGGGTTATGGCCCAGCTGGGGGGGGGCGGCCTTGCACCTCTGTTCCAATGCTAGAGGGGACTGTCCTTCATGGAGCCTCCCTCCACCCCAGCCCCTGTGACTTCAGCAGCCACTCCCTTCCTGCACAGGGCCTGGCCCATGGAAGGTGGAACTGAACTTTCCAGGGAACTAAAATCTGCTCCCCGACACTGAAATCTTCTTTCTTAAGCAATGTGAGTGAAAGAACAGTCAGAACAGCTTTATACCCTATCCCTCCTCTTCAGCCTAATACCCAGGATCCACTTGGTCAGTGGCCCAAGCATTTCCGGTCCTTGGGCTAAGTGTTCCTACTGTGAGAAGGGGGAACAGGGGAAGTGGACTGCACCATTTTTGCTTCTGGAAACATAAATTCTAGAAAAAATGAATATTCTTGTTTTATGCATTTCTAGAGCAGTCATAAACTAACTTTATGATTAAAATGAGCACAAAACCTACACTCTCCCACTGAGATTACAAAGTATGTAATGTTCTTTGTTTTCTATAACTGAACTCTACTTCCTCATGAGCCCCATTCACAGAAGAATGCAAGAATTCTGCCTGGGTCTCCTCTAGTCCAAAGCATTCTCCTCTTAGGCAGCTCCTGGACTGACAAGATTCCCCTCTCCCCGTGTTCGTGTTGCTTGGCGATGGGAGAAAGCACCTGTGACCATGTCTGTCCACCGACTCCCTCCACACCCACTTCTCCCAAGAGTGACTGGTGTTCGTCACGTTCCCAGGCCCCGTCTGGTGTGAACCGACTGTGGCCAGGAGCACTGGGTGGCCTCCTGTCACATCTTGGTCCTCTTCCCTCGGTGGATGTTGGGCAAAAGCTCATATAGTCCGTGGCTACTACAGTAAGCAGTGAGGAACAATAAACCTCAAGGCCCAGGCACAGGGGACCGAAAGAATCCTGTGAAAGAAGCTCACTTGCACAATCTAGTCCCCATCACAGAACGTGTCACTTTGTCAAAAAGCTAGTTCAGGGGCCGGGGATTTAGTTCAGTGGTTCCACTGCCTGCCTTGAAAGCACAAGGTCCCAAATTCGATCTCTAATACCAAAAAAAAAAAAAAAGCTACTGCCATCTGGTGTCCAGAATGGGACAAAATGATAAGGCTCATTTCTGTTCCTTCTGGAATCTACAGATTACATTCATAGCATACACAGCTCACTTAGATTGTTTTTTGAAAGAAATCAAGTTAATAAAAGTAAACAATAGAAAAATCAATATTGTTATTCTTTTTTAGGAAAAGGAGCATGAGCTTGAAATTAAAAACATCTATACTAATCGAATCCTTAGAAATATACGGGAACTAGAAGATTACCCAAAAGGTATATTTTTATTATTTTTACTCAGAATCTATTTTTAAGTACTCGGTCATATTTTCTTAATTTATATAGCCAAAATAATGGGGTTTTTTAATTTCATTTGATTTTGATTTTTTTGAGACAGGTTCTCACTATGTAGCCCAGGCTGGTCTTGAATTCACAGTGATCCTCCTGCCTCAGACTCCTGAGCGCCAGATTACAGGCATGTGGCACCACACCCTGCCAAAAATGCATATTTTAAAAAATAATTTGACTAGGCATTAAAATGCATTATGCAACCCTAGAAAGATGATGAAGTTGTGAGATAACTTTCCAGCCAGAAGCAAAATACCTCTTTCAAAAATTGAACTTCCTAAGTATATCTGCTGCCAGCGTGTGGCTTTTGAAAATGAGCTTCCTTGAGGTAGGCTTTCCTCTCTAACAAGATGCCCCCGTAAGCCAGGCGTGGTGACCCCACCTGTCAATCCCAGGACTGGGGAGGCTGAGGCCAGAGGCTCACCATGAGTTCGAGGCCAGCCGGGCTGCATAGGAAGAGACTGTCTCAGAAAGAAAAAAAAAAAATGCCCTTGGCTTGTTTGTTGTTTTTTTTTTAATTGCCATCATTTGTTTTATTTCAGAAATTCTTTTCTTCTGAAAGAAACATTTTTCAACTCTGAAGTCCTTAGAGATTACTTTTTGGCATAATTTATCCACTCTGTCCCAGGTGATCTTGAAAGGCAAATAATTTAGCTCTGATGATGATCTTTGATGGCTTTTATTTCTTTAACCAAAGCAATCACTGGTGCCTTTTAGGCACACGGAACGATAGCACTCATCACAGAGAAGGTGCCCCTGTACGTGGCGCCTGCGGCCTCTTTTTTCCCATCTCCCCTCCCCCCCATGCACAAAAGCTCTGTTTCCGTTTTCCCTTCTATTTTTATCTTCTTTTCCTTGTCCCTTCCTTCCTTTCTCCCTCCCTCCCTCGTTCCCCTTCCCATTTGAACATTTTCTTCCCATTTCCCAGTATCTATTTTACATTTCAGTCCTATTTTCACTTTCGGTTTCTCACACCAGAGAGACAAGGCGGAATTTATAAACAGGTGCGTCCGATTTATTTCACTTAAGAGCATGGTCTCAAGGTGCATCCATTTAGCTAGCAATGTCTCAGGCTCATCCCTCTTTATAAGATGCCCCTGTTTTAGCTTTTCAGTTCAGCGATTTTTTTTTTTTTCCCCGGTTCTGGGGATCGAACTCAGGACTTTGCGCTTGCAAGGCAGTCGCGGTCCCACTGAGCTAAATCCTCGGCCCAGTTCAGTGGATTTCTGACAATGATTTTACCCACATAACTGCCACCTAATCAAGGCCACGTCACCCCAGAAAGGTCCCTCATGCCTGCGTGCCGCCGGCAGTCCACACCCCTGGCTTGAGCAGTTGTGAGGGGTCTGTAGGACTCACCCAAGGCGCTCCGCATTCCTGATGCAAGGTGTCTCTGGACCCAGCCGCCCCACTGCAAGTCTGCAGCTCCGAATCCCACCTGCAGAGGACGCCCTCGTCCTCAAACGGCAATCCTGTCCTCTCCTAACACCTGATTCCACTCTCGAGACAGAATAAGGCAAAACAAAGGAGATGGCAGGAAAATACACAAGGCAACCAACGAATGTTAGGCGTGTACCGAATACCCAGAAAATAGCATAGTTGGCTTTTATCACATTGCATACTTCAATGGTATTTTGTTTAAAATCAATATTGCTTCCAAATGTAAAATATGATTCTCACGTGCGATCTACCTATTCTGCAGTTTCTTCAACAAAATCAGTACAAGCGGACAGAAAAAGCTTGTCATTTGTAAGTATGAGACACCAGGAAACCCAAAAGTCAGAAGATGTTCCATCTTTGACTACTAAGGTACGGCAAAGGTGAAGTCTTGCGGTGGCTAAACGTGTCTGAACAAAAACAGCTGAGCCATCACTTGTGACCACCACTTGTTCTACACAAACAGTATTTGTGTTCATTAGAGTAAAATACAAGTGGAAATCATCTACATGCCACAAATGTATTTGTTCTGCTTTTCTAAATCATAGGGTAAAAACATAACAAGAAACATTCATCCTAAAGAGAAATCAAGTGAAATAAACCATGAAGTTCCTCACTATATCAGTAAACTGCCAAAGCAAGATGATTCAAAGAGAGAATTTGAAGGTAACTGTACCAAGTTTTAAAAATCTCTTAGAGGGACTGGGGATGTAGCTCAGTGTTGCCGCCGCCTGCCTAGCAAGTGCAAGGTCCTGAGTTCAATCCCCAGTACAAAAAAAAAAAAAAAATCTCTTAGCCAGCGGCCATAGCTCAATGGGCGAGAGCTTGCCTACATGCTTGAGGCCCTGAGCCTGACGATTCCCCAACTCTGAAGAAAACTCTCCTATCTTATTTGATTTTTTTGTCTGTTTGTTTTTTGTTTTGTTTTTGGTACCAGGGATCAAACTCAGGTCCTTGCACTTTCGAGCCAGGTGTTGGAACCACTGAACTAAATCCCCGGCCTTATTTGATTTTTTAAAGAATGAACTGTATACATGTGCGTAAAAGGACACATTAAAACATAAACAGTTGAGGGCCGGGGATTTAGCTCAGTGGTTTCGCCAACTGCCTTGCAAGCTCGAGGACCCGAGTTCAATCCCCGGTACCAAAAAAAAAAAAAAAACACAAAAAAAAACATGAACAGTTGATAGAATCACAATAAAAGGAGCGCCTGGGTGGTCGAGGTGGTACACACCTGTAATCCCAGTGCTATGGGAGGCAGAGGCAGGAGAATCACAAGTTTGAGCCCAGCCTGGGCAACTTAGCAAGAGCTTGTCTCAAAATGAAAAATTTGAAAAAGGGCAGGGGATGTAGCACAGTGCAAGGCCTTGGAATCAATCCCTGGTATCATTATTAGATAGATGATAGAGTAGATAGATGCCCTGGAAGGGTCACACCTCGACTGGGGGAGCTAAGAAAGTTGAAATAACTCAGCAATTTGGTAGAAGGCACCGAATGTAAGGGCACCCTGTCTGCGGCAGACTCGTGGAATCTGACGGTTGCTTGCGTTTTTGCTGGGGTCACTGGGCCTACATAAGTTTCCACTCACTTTTCAATCCATTTGGGTCACTGATATTGTCCTAAAGATTTATTCATTTTGGGCCAAGTATTTGGCTCAGTGGTGCCACCACCTGCCTTGCAAGTGCAAGGTCCTGAGTTTGATCCCCAGTACCAAAAAAAAGATTTATTCATTTGAAAATTTCTTTCTGCACATATGCTGTGTCAGGCGCTGCTCTGCCACTGGAAAATGGCAGTGAACAAGTACAAAACACCTTGTGCCGGGTGGGCACCGGCCTGGCAACCAAGAGGCCCTGGTCTCAACTCCCAGCCCCAAAAGAAAACTAGCAGACACCCTGCCCTGAGGTGCTCATATTCCCATGTGGGACCATCTTTCCCTTCGGTTCACATTATCCCCCACTCTACAGTAACCGCTCAGAATCCCATGGACTGCAAATGCCACACTTTATTTAACCATTACTTTTTTTTTTTGAGACAGGGTCTCACTGTATAGTTCAGGCTGGCCTCAAAGTCACAGCGATCCTCCTGCCTCAGCCTTCCCCATGCTGGGATTTTTGCAGACATTTGTGTCATTGTTCTAAACCACTCTGCAGTAAACATCCTTATACCAATCTTTGTTTGTGGGCCTCCTCCCAGAAGTGAGGCTGTTGGCCTGAGTGTGTCCCCTTGAAATTTCACTAGATACTGCCAAACTACCATCCAAAATCCTCCACCAACGCATACGCCCACCAGTGGGGAGCAAACACTGCAATGTCCCCATATTCTCATCAGCTCTGGAAATTATTTGCCGATTGGATGGGTGAAAAATGTTCTCGTTGTTTTCCCTGGCACTATATCCTGCTAGTGATGCAAGAAATTATTAATAACCTTGTTGGCAAATTGCATTTCCTTGCCTATGAATATCGCTTTCCTTTGGTTTCATAAATCCCGTGTATTTGGGATATTCTAGGAAAATGGGGCATTCTGAGCCTGTTAGAAAATGCTCTGCTCTGTGTTGTGCGCACTGCTCTCTCCGCCTTTCCTGTCACTGGCCGTGTGCTGGCCGCACCACCCTGAAGTAGAAGCCCACGAGCTGAGAGGGCACTGAACTGTCGATTTTTTCTAACACAGATTTATCAAAGGAAGAGGAATATCTGGAAGTACATGCACCTCTGGAGAATACTGGACGACATAAAGAGAAGGAAGATCAAGAAAAGAAACCCCTTTTGCAAGAACAAGAGCTACTCCCCCAAAACACTCCAGCTGTCCCCCCTGACAGAGAAAGCGGTCAGGATGATGATGCAGAAAAAGAAAAGTTTAAAAGCGTCCAGCTGTGCGAGGCGGAGGAGAGCTCCGACCACGGCGCCGTCCCCAACGCCAAGGCTCCCTGCAGGCAAAGGAAGCTGTACTCGTTCACGGAAGCCACCGAAAACCTGCACCACGGGCTTCCCGCGTGCGGCGGGCACGCTCAAGGGCACGGCGCCTACAAGCATCGGAGTGGCGGCGCCGAGGAGCCGAAGCCGGACGCGCCCAGTGGGTACGAGCCCTCCTTCGGGAAGTCTTCCCGGATCAAAGCAAAGGACCCCGCCTTCCAGGAGCGGAAGAGCAGCCTGATGGAGGAGCTCTTCGGGGCCGGCTGTGTCCTGAAGGCCGAGCACGCTGCTCCTGGGGCCGTGGACGGCGGCAAGGAGCCCCCGAGACAGAAGGCGCCCACGCCCCCGACGCCGCTGCAGACGCCAGGCCGAGGCCGAGCCTCGGCCAGCAACGCATTCGGGGGCTCCAAGGCCACCGTGGGCAGCTCCATGCAGTCTCCACCCACGGAAGGAAAAAGAGTTGTTTAAATACAACTCGTATCTTAATACAACCGGCTTCACAGCCTGCTTATGTGCCTTCGATCGTATGAGGTTAGTGTGCAAGAGAGTGTATGTCTCTGGGTGTGCGCTAGCACTCACATTAGACTCTGGAAAGTCCAGTTTCAAAATCCATTGTATTCTAGCCAACAATAATATTTTAAATACAAATTTGCATTGTTTTTCTAAAAGTGAACCACGTCCATTGTTTTATGTTTTTTTAAGACTGATTTAATTATATGGCTTTAGTATCCTGTGGGACCAGTCAACATACACATCTTCTACAGGTTAAAATCTTTCCAGCAATAGAGTTGTGTTGTAACTTTGAAACATGGAAGCAGCTTTCAGACAACAGTACAATCACAAGACTCTCTTCACACAGGGGAAAAAGTGCACTGGTTACCAAACTTGGTTTTATGAAAATAAATTTTGGGGATACTCTTATTCAGCTAAACTGGGCATCTAATATACTGTCTTTGTGTCTTTCCTCATGGACATACCTAAGGTTTGGTATTTTTTTATTGAGCTTTATTGCACACTGTGACTTGACTTTTTTTACTTAATCTTGTTCTAAAAAAAAAAAACCACATGGTGTAGAGTTCACTGGACCTAGCTGCTCAGCCCTAACTATTTATTACTCTTAGCATATCTTAAGTTGGGACTACAAGGGTCTACCTCTAGACTACAAATGCTGAACTTCCCTTCATTAGTTATAAAGGTAATTTATAATCCAGAACATTGTGGGGAAGACTCTGGCTGGAGGAGTGATTGAAATGATGGCTGAGATGAAGGTATCTCCTACAGCAATGGCCCAGGCTCCCTAGAATGCATGGCTATAGAATAAAGCCTGCAGAAGCAACAGCAGAGCAAGATCCAAAATAGATTATCCTTAGATACAGTTGCTTCCACCACTGTTCTCTCCATCCCCAATGGCTTGCTTAGATTAGGGAAATATGAGCCACTGCACACCATCATCCTTTCCCTGTCCCCTATATGAATTTTTGCACAGATGTCCTTCTCTTGTTCTATATCCTTGCTTCTTGCTTCTATCAATAAAAAGCCACAAAAGCTTCAGACTGTCTCACACTGAGGGGTCTTGATAAATGCAGTCCCTCTGGGCCTTTTTGGAGGTTAAACCAGACATGGATCCCGAGTTCTCATCCTTTGCACCGCCATGGTCATAAACAACAACATGATACTATATCTACAGTATCTATATACTATAGTATAGTATACTATATCTAGTATAGATATATATACTATATCTAAAAGTGTCTTCAGGTTGGTGTGTAGCGTTTAACACACTTTAGTGAAATAAATTGTTTAAAGGCAGTGAAAGTCAGAGTGGGAAGAGAATTGTACTTAAAACCTAAGATGGGATAAATGCTACAACTGGCATAAAATGTGAGCTTCATGGAGTGGGAAAAACAGGAAAGTAGGGAGGGGAGTTAGAGGTCTCAGAGACTCATAAGGAACGGGAAATGACTGAGTTGCCTAAATTCTTTTTTTTTTAAGCCAAACATTTATTGGTACATTTTAGATATACATAACATTCATCATAGGGAATTTGTACTTGTATATGACATAATCTTGCTACTTCTTTTTTTTCCCATTTCCCTCCCCTCCCTTTGACCTCTCTTCCTCTCCTTATTTACAAAAGCTTTGTTTCCATTTTTTCCTTCTATATTTTTTCTTGTTCCTTCTTTCCTTTCCCCCTCCTCCCTCTCTTGTTCCCCTTCTCATGAAAATTTTCTTTCCATTTCCCAATATCTATTATTCATTTTGGTCCTTATTTCCATTTTTGGTTTCTCACACCAGAGAAACAATGCAGTGTTTAAACAAGTGTGTCTGATTTATCTCACTTAAGAGTATTGTCTCAAGGTGCATCCATTTAGTAGAAATGTCTCAAGCTTATCCTTCTTTATGAGTTGCCTAAATTCTGGAGTTTTCTAAAACCATTCTTTTTTTTTTGTACTGGGGATTGAACTCAGGATCTTGCACTTGCAAGGCAGGCAGAGGAACCGCTGAGCTAAATCCCCAGCCCTCTAAAACCATTCTTGAAATGGTGTCTTGTGTTCAGTGTCTGTCCCTGCTTCCTATGAGATGGAGGGTTTTTCAAATCTTTTCTTGTGCCTCCTCACAATAAAACCATAAATCCCAGGGGCTGGGGATTTACCTCAGTGGTTCTGCCACCTGCCCTGCAAGCACAAGGACCCAAGTTCCATCCCCAGTACCAAAAACACCACATAAATCCTAATACTGAATTAGGGCCAGGGATTTAGCTCAGTGGTTCCACCACCTGCCTCACAAGAGAAAGGTCCCAAGTTCAATCCCCAGTACCAAAAAAAAAAAAAGAGAATAATAATAATAATAATAATAATAATAACCTAATACTGAATTAGGGCTACCTAGACATGCTTCTTTAGCGAACTAATTTAATACTTAGGGAAAGTTACAGGATCATATATATTAGGATGCAACTTTTTACCTCTGAGGAATGAGATTGTGGCCAATTTTTAAATTTTAGTGTTTTCTGTTTTGGCTTTCTTCTATAAAGGACATAGCTTTATAATCAAGAGAAAATAATTCTAAAATAAAAACAGGTGATCTCCTAAGGTCCAGTAGAGAAAGCACTGTAGCTTGTTGTAAAAAACAAAAGGCCAAAAATGTTGTGCCAACTCTACAAAACATGGGGTTTTTTTCTTTCAAATTTTTATTTCTATTAACCTATGTTTGCAGCATACAGTGATTACATCCTGGTGGGGAGTTGGTACACAGATGTAACACAATGTACTTCCCCTTCTCCCCTCCCCCACACCTCATGGTGCCCTTCCTATTTTCAAAAGAACTATCTCCCTATTTGCTATGATCTGTTATTTTTCTCTTTATATTATCTTTATTTTGTGTGGCTGATAAGTGCTGAGTCTGAATATAGTGACAGAGAACAAGATGGTAAGGAAAACTGAGTTTAATATTTTTAATTTTTATTTTTATTAGTCCATGTTTGCAGTACATAATGATTACATTCCTGCACTTAAAGCACTTTAATTCTTTCTACATCTCCTTCCCCTCCCCTTCCTCTTAGTCTCCTTCCACCTTTGCAAAGGATCTCTGTCTTACAAAACATGCTTTTGAATCAGGTGGTCAGCAGGCAAAGCATCCAGGGAGGGAAGTGAGTGAAGCTCTAAACTCATCATGATCTAAAGCAGTGGTGAGCACGCAAGCCAAGTTGCCCAGCAGCCAGCACTCAGGTTCAACTGCAGTGTTGGCACACTGAGATAAGTAAATGGGTTTGGGGTTGCAGTTTGAGCACTTGGTCTCTAAAAGTTTCGCCATCGCTGACCTAAATAATATTTACAAAACAAACAGAGAGAACCGAACAGCAGCAGAAAAACTCAGGACAAAACCCAGGCACCCCAAGGAGGTCCTCTCCCACCCAACATGGAGATCCCTCCCTGGCCCTCCAGGGCCTCCAGCCTCAGTGAACCAAAGACAGACTGTACAGAGCCCTGAGACTCAGAGCTAGTCAGTCCTCCTCTTGTTGACAGCCAGAAAGTGGACCACTCCAGTGTCTGTCTAACCTAAAAGTGAATTTTGAAGAGGTCCAGGCTGGTAGCTGAAGGCAGTAGAAATGCAAATCCTAACCCAGGCCTCCAGCAACCCCCACAGATAATTTTAAAAATAAATAAAAACAGGGGCAGGGATTTAGCTCAGTGGTTCCACCACCTGCCTTGAAAGCGCAAGGTCCCGAGATCGATTCCCAGTACCAAAAATAAATAAATAAATAAAAATGTGCAGTCCAAAAACATGGTGCTAAAGAACAGAACAGATGTTTCAAACAAAGTAGGCACAGAATTTTATTAACATCTATAAAAGTTTAAAGAAATGAGCTTGAAAATATAAAAAAGTTCTATAATAAATGGTCAAACATTTGACAATTCAGAAAACATGTGATAATACAAATTAACTTAATCCCTGGTACCAAAAAAAAATTAACTTAATAAAAAAATTTAATAAATGAGATTAAAACAAAGAGGAAAAACTACAAACCCGAAGAAATTATTAATATTAAAGCATAGAGAAAAGGTGCCCGTGAGGTTAATGTCATGAAGATTAGCACGAAAGGTCTACCATGTTATCTACTCAGTTTCCAAAGAAAAGGGGAGCAAACAGAGCAGGGCTAGAGAAAAAGATGGAAAGATTTCCAGAGCTGACAAAAGATACCATCTAGAAAGCCCAATGACTTCCAAGCACAATAGAGACTGAAACACAAATTCAGAATACCTAAAATGTATCAATAAAAGAATTTAAGGGGAAAAAAAAAGAACAAAGTAGAAACACATTTTCAAGAAAACAAAAAGTTAGCCAAGCATGGTGGGACACACCTGCAATCCCAGCACTCAGGAGGATGAAGCCAGCCTGAGCTCCACAGTGCATCCAAGGCCAGCCTGAGCTACATAGCCTGACCCTGCCTCTGAATAAGTAAGTAAATAAATAAATAAATAAGCAAGCAAACAAACAAAAAGTCAAAAGTTCGCCACAATCAGAATCTCATGAAGGGAGCTTCCAAGGCAAGATCAGCAAATGTGTTCTGGAAAAGACCAGACAGGAAATATTTTCAGGCTTATGGAGCTACACAGTCTCTGTCACCTCCACCACTGCAAGCTGCAAATAGCCAGAGCCCATGTACAAACAGGTGCCGTGGCTCTTTGCATGAGAGCAGCTGGCTGGACTTGGCCACCAGGCCCCAACTGTGTCCCTCTAGTCTATTCTATTCTGTATTTTTGGGTCTCACCATGTAGTTCAGGCTGGCCTTGAACTTTCTGTGATCCTCCTGCCTCAGCCTCCTGAGAGGGAAATATTAGCATTATATCACATTCTTATTATATAAAACACATTTTAATACTTTGATACCTCCCAAGACATAATAAAAACAATTGTTTTTAGAGGAATAATGGCTACTTCACCTTTTAGAGTCCAATATCCTTAACCCCAATCTTGGCAAGAAGACATGACATTCATTCACTCTGAGCCTGAGCTCAGTGAGAAAGCAGCGCTGAGTGCTGAAAAGAGCCGCCTCGAACAGACGCAGGCCCAGGTAGGAACGCCCACACCGATCACACAGCCCCACCCGCGACAGCACCACCAGCCTCTGAAGCCAGCCTCTGACGTTGGCCTTGGAGGACAGCAGCACGACAGAAATCCTCCTGAGTGGTCGAGTGGCCACACGGGACTGTGAAGAACAGCACCGTGCAAGGGCCGCCCCTGGCCCAGCGGGAAACCACCGTGCGACTTGTTGCTGGGAAGGTACTAGAAAGCCTAGCAAATGGACAGCGTGGTGCTAAAGCACTTGGGCACCCGGGGAAAGAAAACCTTTGAGGACCCCCAAAATAGGGTCCTAAAACAGTGGCAACCAAAGCCTGCAACTGCAGGCACCGGAAGTCAACACCAGATCGGTTGAGTCACACAGATTGCTTCAGACGTCCAGCCAAGGAGGGGAAGGGACATCCCGTCCCCTGGGCGGCTAGGCAGCCTGTGAAGTCTGAGGTCTGGCACCCGAGGGAGCCGCTCCTCAGCCCTCCACAAGCTGAGGACCTGCGGGAGGGACCAGCCCCAGGGAGACCACCTTGCCTTCACTGCAGCCACTTTCCTACAAGTGAGGTGACAGGACCAGGAGGCAGACTGTGGAGATGGACGCAGAGCTTGGGGAGAGGGCGAGAGGCCTGGGGGTGGATGATTGAGCTGTGACGTGTGTGTGTAGACACCAGTGCCAGGGATCACACCCACACCAGTACAAGTAAGCATTAAAAGAAAGCAGCCCGGTGTTCTGCACACACAGGTAATCCCAGCACTCAGGAAGCTGAGCCAGGAGGAGCACCTCAAGTTCGAGGCCAGTGAGGCCAAGGTAAATCTGAACTACATAGCAAGATCCTGTCTCGAAAAAAGAAAGAAAAGAAAAGAAAACAAGATGCCAGGTGTGGTGGTGAACCCCTGTGATCTCAGCACTTGGGAGGCTGAGGCAGGAGGATTGCTGCAAGTTCAAGGCCAGCCTGGGCTACGCAGCGAGTTCAAGGCCAGCCTGACTTACATGATGAGACCCAGAAAAACAAAAAAAGGGCCCAGGGCCCATCCAAAAGTGATAGTGAATTTGTATACACAAAGGTTTCCCTGGTCAGTGGACCATAAACTTAGGACAAAATTGGTATGAAAGAGTACTTTATTAAGTATATTTTAAATCAAATGCCAGTTTTTATGTAAAGCCATAAAATGTATTTTAAAATATGTAACTTTAGCACACATTTCATATACATATACACACGTATCTTCAAATATATATACAACATATGAAAATTAAAAAGCTCTGTTGTTGCTAAGCACAATGCACCCCGTATGTAGAAGAGAAAAGTACGAACCCTGGCACCCGCAGCCTAGTTCTGTGGAGTGGCGGCACTGGCACTTTCTTGCTCTTTTTCTGCACTTTCCACATTAACTTTGGGGGGGGGGGGTACTGGGGATCAAACTCGGGACTTTGCACTTGCAAGGCAGGCGCCAGAACCACTGAGCTAAATCCCCAGGCCTCCACATTAGACTTTTACTTTTATTTTTTCAGGTTTTACTTTTATAATTTAAAAAACAAAAAGCTATTGCACTTGTGCCCATGGGAAGGGGACAAAGAGATAAGGGAAGGAGGAAATGAAGCCGGGCCCTGCGCAGGCACCAGTGGCCATCATGGACTGCACACACGGACCAACAAGCATCCTGTAACTCAGAAGCACATACATCACTGGTCACAAACACGTGGAATATTGGAGAACAATCGCAAGGGCTGGCAACCGTCACATTCTGGGAATTTGCTGACAGGACAGCTTGGGGTCAGAGCTCATACTTTCTTTTTTTCTCTTTTTTGGGGGGACGGGGGTAGTTTTGAGACAGGGTCTCACTCTGTAGCCCAGGCTGGCCTTTAACTTGCGGCAATCCTCCCGCCTCAGCCTCCCAAGTGCTGGGATTACAGGCATGCGCCACCAGGCTCCACCTAGAAGTCGTACTTTCTAGACCCCTTTCTGTGTCTTTATCAGTACCGTGTTTATTATCTATTTTTAAACAGATACAATTTTTAAAAACCACAACGATGTGACACGTAACGGGCATTTGTATTTCCCGGCTTAATCCTCTGGAGCCACTGACACACAAGAAGCTACCCACCTGGCCATGGGGAGGTGGCCACCACTCCTGCCTCGCCACCTGAGAGCACCCCTGGAGGACAGAGGCCACAGGGTGCCCTGGGGAGGAGACTCGGGAGGCCACTGGCCAGGCCCTGCAGCACGCACGTCCCGAGTCCTGAACCAGCCGGGGGAGCTCGGCCCGGGCGAGTCTAAGTTTCCATACTGGGACCAAACCCCAGCCGTCCTCAGCGTCCTCAGCGTTCTCAGCGTCCTCAGCGTCCTCAGCGTCCTCAGCCTGCCGTTAAACTGTCCCATAGTTCATTTAGGGGAAGTGATAACGAGCTACTTACCGGTCATCAGGGAACACAAGAACACAAACACAATCTTCCAAAACCCGAGAGACAGAAGTCAGCTTTACTGAGCGAAGGCCAAAGCCTAGTGTCAGTGACAGACTGCTCACAGGAAGTAAGCGGTTGGAAGGGGGCAGTCACACTTGCAAATGTTTTAATTAGAAAAAGTGCTTCAAAAAATAGGCTTGGCAGAATTATACTTTATAGTGCAAACAAGTATCAGTTCTGGTGAATCTAATTAGACCGCCCAGTCTGCCTTTCTCTACAGACCATATATACTAAATGCGTATAAAATACACTTCATTTGAAACGGCTGGAACACAAAACACAATCTGAGCACAAAACAACATGGTTCGTGAATACATTTACAAAACACCGTAATGAAAAATTAACACCTTCACATAAGTAAATAACGCTATACAAATGCTTGGCTAACAAATAACATTTTAAACAGAAGAGGAAGCTCAAACGATGTCCGTTAGTGTTATTCTTTTTTTTTTTTTTTTGGTACCAGGGATCAAACTCGGGTCCTTCCGCTTTCGAGGCAGGCAGCAGAACCACTGAGCTAAATCCCCGGCCCCATTAGTGCTATTCTTTCAGCTGTACTACATGAGATTAAAAAACAAATTTCCAAATTCTGGTAGGGCAGTATCTTGGTACTGATTGTTAATTGGTTTGTGGAGGTGCCAGTACCAAGAACACAAGGGTCAAACCAACTGTCTGGGCTGGGAACGGCAGCAGATCCCGAAGCCGTCACACCGACGATCTCGAGCTTATGTGTCACATGCCCAGCAAATGACCAGGCCCTGCACAGAATTTTTGCATCAAAAAGCCTCAAGGACTAAATTTGATGAGTTTGAAAGCAAGGTAACACTACAGTGGCATTAAGTTACTTTCTCAACTGGATTTAAAAAATACTATTGTCTTTAAATTACTCGATTTGTTAGAAAACTTTGACTTTCCAATTGGCAAGAAGACCGGAATATGCCAACAGTGCCAATCAGCACATACACACTGCAAAAGTTTTCCATTTATTACAAAGCTGGTGTGATGTGGGTTGGTACACGCACATCAGAAACTGGGCTTTCGGGCTCAATCACAGGTATAGAAAATGGTAATTCTTCTAAGAATCTCATATAAATTATAAGAACAAACATATTCAACAAAAAAATTAGCCAGTGTACTTTTGTTTAAAAAAGTGTCCATCAGACTTTTAACCCAAGAAGAGCAAACCGTTGTTAGAGTCTCGTGTCTGGATTCATTTTCCTTCTCAGCTGAAAGGATGCAGCACAATGGCCACAACTTTGTTACAGACCAAAATCCAGCAAGTGATTCCAACACCGCCTGAAAAGAAAGAAGCGCAGAGTCACGGCCGAGCAGCTTCTCCGGCCGCTCTGTGAGCAGGACTCAGAGTACAGCTCCACACAGGCTGAGCAGAGCGGGACGCGGAACTCACCTCCCGCCACAGCTCCCTCGGTGCTTTCCGGGAAGTTCTTACCTGCCACTCTGGTAGGAAAGGCCACCAGGCGGTCCAGCGGGGTTATCCATTTGCTCGGCACCACAGCCACGGGGACAGAATAGTACTTCCAGATGAGTGAGATCATCAGGGCAGCCTGCAAAGGCACTGCTGGTGAGCAAGGCTGCCTGCCAGTCCCACAGGGACCTGCTGGTGTCCCGTGAGTGTCTCACCACACGCCCGGCCCTTCCAACCACGCTGGAGCAGCCAACACAAAAGACCTCCCAGAAGTTACTTCGGAGCTGATGTGCCAGGAAGGCCCAGCTCTGCCAACTCTGACCATGAGAAGGGGTCTGTTCACATCTAACTCAGAACCACCACCACCCCCCATGGGTGTGGCGCAGTAGAAAGCGCCTGGACAGCACCCTGCGGCCCTGGGCTCCATCCCCAGCACCAGGACAGGGAGGGAGGGGGCGGGAGTGGTAGGCAGGAAACAGTGACTTAATTCCAGGGTGCCCCAAGTCGTGCACCAGCAGGACCCCGAGCCCCAGCCCCCAGCTCTGCAGGCCTCTCTGCTGGAGCTCAGTGCCTGACACCACAGCACACTCACCTGCAGGATGTAGAAGACCACGCTTATGACCCACTTTATCTTGGCTAACTGAGCCGTCCGAGCTTTCACTGAGAGGAAAAACCGGACGAGACAGCGGGTCAGTGCCCCAAACTGAGAAAATACCTACGTACACAGAAATGTGCTTCCTCTTAGAAGACACTTCTAAATTATAAATGCAACAACCACTCACTGTTTAGAAAATACAAAATGGAGCTTTTTAAAAGTTACCCTCGGGGCCGGGGATTTAGCTCGGTGGTTTCACCACCTGCTGTGCAAGCGCAAGGACCCGAGTTCAATCCCCAGTACCAAAAAAAAAAGTTACCCTCCATCTTACTGTCATTATTCAAGAGAATCCCATGCACACAGTGAGATTTGAAGAGCTTTAATTCTGAAAACCGTAATGTTACTCATCAAAATCACAGACTCTTGCTATAACGAGTGTGCCACTTGTCAGCAGCACTGAATTTGCTTCCCTATTTCCACCCCACCAGCCAATGGCCAGGCAGAGTCCAGGCGGCCTCGCGCAGGTCCCTCGCTCTTCACACTGGAGACAGCAGCAGGGAAGGTCACCACTGCACGATGTCCAGACAGAGGAACAGGAGGCCCTGGGAAGCACATGAGGTCATTTCTGGGCTTCCCTGAAAAAATGCTGAATTTGAACCAGGTGTGGTGGCACACGCCTGCGATCCCAACACTAGGGAGGCTGAGGCAGGAGGACTGCCAGAAGTTTGAGGCCAGCCTGGGCTACATAGTGAGTTTGAGACCAGCCTGTACCTCACAGCAAGAGACCCTGTCTAAAAAAACAAACAAAACAAAAAGAAAGAAAGAATGTAAAAGTGCTGAATCTGAAAACAAAACCTACAATGACAGGCTGGCTCTGCAGAAAATCCTAGAGGGCCCCTGGATGTCTGTTTTTAGAACAGAGGTTCCCCAGCCCAACACTGGGAGTGCACGCAGGCCCATTCACACTGGATCACACCCAGACACCGAAGGAGCAGAGTGCAGCGAGGAGGTCGCACAGAGCTCCTGCCCGCCCGCAGTACCACAGTACCACAGTACCGTGTGTCTTGAGCCTGTCCGTCATCTTGTTGATCTTCCTCTCCAGGCGAGCATATCGGGCGAATTCATCCATCATGTTGACGGAGGCGAGCTCCTGCTTCATGTCCTGGATCTCAGCTCGCATGTGCGACTCCTGCTCTGCATCCTTCTGCAGCACCCGGGACATCTGGCGGGGAACGGCCGGCCAGGGTGAGTGTCGTACCCACAGTGCAGTGGGGTCCCTGCGCCCCTTCTGGGCTGGAGTGTTCCCAGGTGATCGACCTGAGTGAACCCGCTGGCCACCCCTCGATGCCCCAGGACCCCATCACCGGGCCTGCGAGGACACCGTGGCACACACTCTCCCCTGGCTGCGTGTCCCAAGGGTGGTGCCAGCAGGAGGTCCCGAGAAACACTCCACTCCCGCCACCCTGGCTTTCAGAGAGTGATTCTCTGGTCCTCCCCATGGAGCCCACTGGGCCAGCAGCCCTCCTCCCCACCCTCCTCCCTCCCTCCCTCCCCTCCAAAGAGGTGCTCTGCGGCCTCTTCCTGCTCCCTATGACACCAAGCCCAAAATGTCCCTGGGATTTGAATCCCAATCCAAGGTACCATTTTCTCTTCACAGCTGTCTGTGGAGCGCTACGGGACATGTGTGTCTTTTACTGTAACCGTGCATGTGGGATTATAAATGAACCGACTCCATGTCCATCGTGGAGCTTTCATTTGGGTGACACCAACCCACATCCTCTGCCCTTCCCAAGGGCCGAGGGCCCAGGCGGGATGGGCAGAGCAAGGAGGGTGCGGGGCCCCAGGCAGGGGCAGCCCAGCAAGAGTGAGGGCCCAGGCAGGAGGTCTTCCCATGCACAGAGGTCTGGCAAGGGGATCAGAGGGTGACACAGGTGCGCGGTGGCAAAGGACTTTTCATTGCATAGAAATTGGACCCTAAGCCAGGTGTGGTGGAGCCCAACTGTGATCCCAGTACTCCGGAAAGCTGAGGCAGGCAGACAGCGAGTTCAAGAGCAGCCTGGGTAACCTAGCAACTTTGGGAGACCCTGTCTCAAAAATGTGAAATAAAAAGAAACTGGACCTCGATAAACCTGACTTTTAAAACTGTATTTTAAAAAGGATAAAGTAAGCCCTTCACGGCAGCAGGAGCCTGAGGTCCCAGCTCACCAGGAGGCTGAAGCAGGAGTTCTGCCAGCTTGAGCAACACAGCAAGGCTATGTCTCAAACAAACAAACACTCAGTGGTAGAACACTTGCCTAATAGGTGCAAGTCCCTGGACTCAATCCCCAGGGTTGTAAATATAAATAAATAAAATTGAAACAGAAGGAATAGGTGAGATGAAACCCAAGGTGGGTGGATAGGCAGAAAGAAGGCAATGTACAAGAGAAGTGGACGAGCAACCTACGGAGTGGAGAAAATATTTGCAAAACATGTTTCTGTATGGGGCTGATGTGCAGGATATATAAAAACCCCTAGCCAGGAGGGGTGCTGCACACCTGTAATCTCAGCATTCTGAGAGGCTGAGGCAGGAGAATTCCAAGTCCAAGCCCAGCATGGACAACTTAGTGACTTAACAAGACCCTGCTCCAAAATGAAAAATAGGAAAGGGCTGAGGATGTCGCTCAGTGTGAAGGCCCTGGGTTCAATACAGATCGCGTCTGTGATACCAAAATGAGTTGGGAATTCTGCCTACCAGCAACCAGGCAGTCGACTCAACACAGGCCAGCTAAGCGGCACCAATTCAATTCGGTGCTCACACAATCTACCCGGAGACGTGGCAGATTCCACAGGTCCACAAGACAGCCCCCACCCACAGCGTCGCAGCTCCTGGCCTCTGGAATTTGTCTACAAACTGCTGTTCCCACGACACCTTCTTCAGGCCACACTCATGGGCCAGGCCAGCTCCCGGGCCCAGGGAAACACTTCCATTCACTGGCGCATTACAAAGGAAGTGTAAAGGAGAAAAGAAAACAGCCCCATAGGAGACACACAGAGCCAGATCAGGACCACACCCGGCCCCAGCACCCCTTGAGTCCTCGTTCTCCTCCCACTGAGTCCATCCACGATGGGCCGGCCAGAGCTCCCTCCTTACATGGGAGTGACCGAGGCAGCCAGGAGTGCTGACATGGACTGCAGGGAAGGGCGCAACTGCTGCTAACACTCAGGCGGGAAACCCAGTGAGGCCCGTTCCGACTCCTCCTGGACTTGGGGAGCAGTCGACCTCCCAGGCGTGGGGCAGGATCCCTTCTGCTCCACCGTCTGCCACAATGGTCAGTTTCCTTGGCACCAGCTCCAGACAGACAGGCACGGGAAGATTACGTTTTTAGTTCCCATGAGCTGCTTGGGGAAGAGACCTTCTAGGTCCACGGCCTGCCCTGGACAGAAAGAATCCGGCAGCAGGACTGGAGGAAATCACAGACTTTGCTTTCCCAGGCCCCCTTCTGACGCCGTGCGTGCTCCACTGTTACACCGAGATTGTCTTCACCTGGCCGCTCCAAGGCTATTCCAGAATAGCACAAACTACAGCAGGCAAGAAGATGGTATCCCCGAGGGCCATGAGCACATAAGATACTTATTATTAGGGAAATGCAAATGAAATTACAATGAGAGGCCACTTTGCACCCAAGAGGACTTGGCTGGTAAAAAAGAAAAGGAAAATAACAAATGTTGGCGGATGGGAAGCAATTGAAGCCCTTGTGCATTGCTGGTGGCCAGTGTACAAAACAGATCTGCAGCTCCTGAAAAACTGAACACAGAATCGGCATGTGATCCAGCAATTCTACTGAGAATATACCCAAAAGAATTAAAAGCAAGAACTCTTATTTGTACACCAATTTCTAGCAGCCATAGTCAAAATGTGGAAATGGCCCAAGTGTCTATCTGCAGATGAATGGATAAACAAAATGTGGTAAATGCAGACAATGGAATATTATTCAACCTTAAAAAATAAAAAAAGGAAGCCAGGCACAGTAGCACACACCTATAATCCCCAGCTGAGAAAGCTGAGGTAAGAGTATTTCAAGTTTAGGCTACCCTGGGCAACTTAGGGAGAGCCTGTCTCCAAAAA